TAACAGAATGACTTTCAATCTAGAAAAGACAAAAGAAATGCTAATGTAGCATTTTTTTCAATTTTTCCAAAAATTTTCATTTCCCCCCGAAAAAAAAAACGGGTTTTTTTCCGAGCTTCAAAATTTCCAGAAATTTTACATCTCTAAGCTGCACTCAGTGTGATACAAAAATGACCCAGACGGACAGCCGTGACCTTTACCTGCTTTGTCTGGGCAAGGGCCATAATGTATCAGCCTGCAAAGCCTGTCAGTGGTCTACTCCCAAGGCCAGGAGTGACTGCACGTCAAAGATGAAGAGAGCACTTTGGGAGAAGGTCCTGCTTTTGACTGAATCTGTCACACCTCACAGACCAGCAAGAGTTTCAGAGTATAAGCTCTTGAGAGTCAACATTCCCTTCGTCAGACTTCATAGAATAGTTATACCTCTTTAGCATAATGATTAGCAGGGGTCGTTTCGTAGAAAAAGAGCTAGGGGAACTTATTAGCATAGCTCATTAGCATATGCCACACCCCCTGACATCACCGGAAGTGTGACATAAATACTTGCAGAGTCAACCCTGCTTAGCTTCCAAGATTTGCAGTTCTTGAGCTGATGGGGACCTCTGGACAACCTGGACAGGTGGCACGCTAGTCTTAGTGGACTATACCTCCCCTCAAAAAAACCAGTGCTTTTTAAAAAGTATGATGGCCAATGAGGGGCCCGGCGGTGGACCTGCAAGGGCGGCGGGAGTGCGAGGAAGCCCCGCGAAGGCCCTCCCTGGCCCCAGGCAGGCAGGGGTGGGGAGAGGCAGGGAGGAAGCAACTTACCCTCCCTCTTCTCCTGCCTCCTCCTGGCTGAATGAGGGCCGGAAGCGGGGCGGCCGGAAGCAGGGGGCGGGGCTTCGTCATGTGCCCCGCCCCCCGTACCTCACCCGGGGGAACTGTGTTCCCCCGCGTTCCCCCCCCGAATCTACCTCTGATGATTGGAGTGTTGGACAAGGATCTTGGAGACCCAGGTTCAAATCCCAACTCTGAGGTGGAAATTTGCTGAGGGAACTGGCCCATGTTTGTCTCTGTCTCTGTATTTGCTTCTGCCTCACAGGTAGGCCTCACAGGGTTCTTGTTAGATAAAATGCTGTGTAAGCCTCTTTGGGTCTCCACTGGGAGAAAACACAGGGTATAAATATCTAAATAATTGTAAAGTTTTCTGTCAGAATGATTCTGAAAGATAAACACATTTGGTTTACACTGGAGTTTAAATGGAAAATAATGTGAATTCATCATATAGCATGGTAGGACGGACTGCATATATCCAGTTGCCATCTTGTTCATGAAGGCTAATTTTTTAAAAAAGTCTCTTTCCTCCTGTCTCTTAAGATTTATTATTTAATCACCCAACTTAATTCCAGCAAGGTTTTACAATCAAAATGTGAGCTCTCCCGTTGTAGAAATTGGTTCAAGCTACCCTGGTGACCCTCATGAGGGCAGAGATGTCATAGAATAAAATAAAAATAAAGTACTGTAATATTACGAAGCAAGAGATTAAAACTTCCAGGATTGTAGTTATCCTCCCGATGCTCTAAAATACAACATTATAGAACATTTTTTTCATACTGACTTAATATATGCCCATTGTGTCTTTGCATGTAGAACCCACAGGACTGGTGACGTTTACGAGGCAATGCCTACAGGAATTTCCAGACTGGGAAAGGTAAGTTCAAAATGAGCCGGCTGACATGACTTCCCTTTTAGCTGCAGTCATTTTACCCACATCCCAGTGAATGTTATGGATTCTCTTATTTTCCCTGCCCTGATCAAGGGAACAGTAAACCTATGCAAGTTAGATGCTAAAGCAGTCTCTTCCAAGTGTATCAAGATTGTTCTAAAATAAAGAACAATCTTGATACACTTAAAAGAGAACTGCTTTAGCATCTAACTTGCATAGCTTTATGTTAGACGTTTTTTTCAGTTTATAAGGATTCTAATCATAACGAACAACTTTTTTACAATCCGTTAAGTATTTGGTTCCCTTTAGTAGAAAAGATAGATTTAGAATGTTTTGAATGGGAGGCTATTAAAGCTGCCAAAAATAAGCTCCTCCTATTTTGTTGAGGCTACAAAAGGATTTTGCTTAATAGACTGTATTTTCACTGAAGTTAACGGTTGTCAGTTTATCAAAATTGTTTATATATTTTAATAGTATTGTAAAGGATATGGTTGCTGTGCCCCTTTTCCTCTTGTTGTCACATATATTATGTCGTCGCTGCTGCTGTTTTAAAGTGTAACAATATTTAATTAAATAATAATAAAAAGGGGGGGGGAGATTGTTCTAAAATTCCAAAACTGTATAATCTCCTCGTCATCCATGAACATTGGTCATAGTGATAGCCAGGGACATATGGCTTCCCCAGTAATGGGGAAAGCCAGCAATCAGAACAAAACGCATATAAAGCACAGCTAGCACTGTTTTATATAGCACCATTAACAAACTTTTGTTGGGTTTTTTGTTGTTGTTGTTGCTGTCAAGTCACAGCTGACCTATGGTGACCCGATGGGGTTTTCAAGGCAAGAGGTGTCCAGAGGTGGTTTGCCATAGCCTGCCTCCATGTCATACCACAGTATGCCTTGGAGATCTCCCTTCCAAATACTGGCCAGGGCCAACCCAGATTAGTTTCCCAGATCTGAGCCTGGGCTATTCAGGTCACGGCCCGTTAACAAAGACACGTGTACAATAAAACGTGCCATACATGGGTCACATACATCCTCTTTATGCATCTATGGACAATGGACAAGTGCAACCGATTTTCAGGTAAAGACCTATTTTGACCTTTTATCAGATCCAGGTAACATGTTTCCAGAACAGGTACAGATTTCCAAGATGTTCATGTTTCCAGGCCCCCATAAAGTGTTTAAGGGTTTTTAAGTCGAAACGAACATTCTAGAGCCCCCAAAATAGTTGGTTTTGCCCTCCAAAATTTTAATTAAAGCACATGGAATGCTGCTATCAATGCGAGAAGAAAAAAATTGTTTGAAATGGGTCTTTACCCAGAAAGCTATAAAATTTGTAATATTTAAGTACATGTCTATATTAGGAATGCGCACAGTCCCAAATAGTCCACAAGCACAAAGCTATACAATTTGTAGTATTTAAGTAGATGTCTATATTAGGAATGGGCACAGTCCCAAATAGTCCACAAGCACAAGCCCTCTAAGGGGCAAATAACAATCCATAGAAAAAAATACTGTCCCATATACCCTGACAGTATCATACGTGATATTCAGACCGTTTCAAGGAAAATCCTTCATCAAAGGGTATAATGAGCTTTGCACTCTGCTTAATACAAAATAGAATTTTGACTTGTGCATGGTCATTGTACGGGGCCACGGTGGCTCAGAGTTTAAAGCACTGAGCTGCAGACTGGAAGGTCTGTAGTTCAGCTGTTCGAGACCCTACTGCTGCATGACAGAGTGAGCTCCCAACTCTGGCCCCAGCTCCTGCCAACCTAGCAGTTCGAAAGCAAGAAATTGCAAGTAGATAAATAGGCACCACTTCAGTGGGAAGGTAACAGTGTTCCGTGCACCTCTGCATTTAGTCGTGCTGGCCACATGACCACAGAAACGTCTTCAGGCAGTGCTGGCTCTTCAGCTTGGAAATGGAGATGAGCATCGCCCCCTAGAGTCGGATTCGACTGGCTTTCGAGCAAGGGAAACCCTTATGGTCATTGTACCTATCTTGACTCATTATACCCTTTGATGAAGGATTTTCTTTTAAACAGTCTGAATATCACGTATGATTCCATTGGGGTATACTGGACATTATTTTTTTCTATGGACTGTTATTCATCCCTTGGAGGGCTTGTGCTTGTGGACTATTTAGGATTATGTTCCTTTTAAGAATTATCATTCTGTGGCCTGTGAGACTTTATGATGTACATCACATTTTCTTGAAGTGTTGTATGTGTTTATATATTCAGTATATTTAATATATTTCTATGAGCATCATTATTTGTCATTGAAATAATGTTTGGGAGAGTTTAACCTTTTCATTTGTAGATGTATACTTTCCCTTCTGGGTTAGTTTTGTGTTTCTCATGTACAGCGTGTGTGTGCTTGATGTTGTGTTACATACTGTTGTTTTGTCACAAAACTAATGGTAGTTGAAATTTACATGGACTTTTTTTCCAATGGCATATAGTTAACAGCTGTCTAGGGCTATGGACTACATGCCTGCAAATGTTGAGTTCAAGCGTAATGTTCTCAGATTGATTGGATGTCCACAGTTCACTCAGCGATGCATGATGACAACCAATGGATTTAGATTTGTTGTCCATATAAATATCTAATTTACTGGAATGGTATAACTACTGATCAGAAATGGTTGGGGACAACTGAGATTTTGGAACTCTGTTTAAAGAGTTCATGAGACTGCTCTGTATTTCTCCTAACATACGCATACTGATCTTTGCAAATTAACTCATGCAAGCATGTGATCTGTCTTTTTTTGATATATAATGGTGTTTTACTTAATTAAGTCTATATCATGCTCTGTGGAGAGTCCACAGAAAGGCAGGACTGCCCTTTAATATCTGATTCAATATTTACTATTAGAATACAGTCCTAAATTTACATTTCCTACCAAAAATGGAGCAGAATGAAAAATGTGATCATGTATCTTGAAAATGGCATAAAGCAAATGTTTTAATCCTGCCACTGTGTAGCTGTCGTCCAGTTAGTGCCCACTAAATGAATGTCTGGATCGTAAAGGACGTACAGAAGATGCCCTTTCAGAAGGCATTTCCTAGTGAAAGTTGTTACTTGGGGTAGGAACTAACACTGCATCCCTTTGGTGCTCATTGCTTGAGGAATCTTGTTCTGCCTTTGGATACAGAAAGATTTCTGGAGGTAATGATGCCACAGTTTATAAGGGGCGTGTTTTTAAAGGAAATATTCTGCTTGTACCATGCTTGCAGGCAAAAGGTATAAATAGTCAGCATATTGAGACATGTTCAGGGTTTTTTTGCGATGGCTTGGAGTACGGTGTTAAAAATTAGTCTAGAGACTCCGTCTCAGTCTGAGCGGGATCAAGTTTTATTGCCGGGGTGGGTGGGGGCTGTCTATCTGTAAGCTTTCAAGCTCCTTCTCCAAGGAGAGAAGGAAAAGCCTTAAGGGAGCTTCCTGCCTTGCTGGATTTCATGCCCATGCCAGAGATGTTAGCTTGTCCGTTCTGCCGTGCAACAGTTCTGAAAATCTGAAAGCTTTCACATTTCATGCATAGGAACAGATGTAGTCAAGTGTATTGTTTAATCTATGAGACAGGCAGATTTTTAAACTGAAGTATGTCCTGTTGTTTTAGAATAGATGGGACTTTATATACGTGCACAGTACTGTGTAGTTCTTGAGGACATTGTTGTAACTTTCAATGCCTTTGTGCATTTGCCGTGCCAGTCTGTGCGTTTGTGCATATGTTACTGTACCAGGTCTGTGCTTTCTGTACGCAGTACATCTGTGAATCTTTGCTAACAGTTCATGACATCATATAATTGATGCTGTTTTCCAAATAAAATTGCTTCTGTGTTGCTAGCTACATGCTTATAGCTGGATGAGGATAATACGTGCTTCCCATCAGCGCTCAGAGGGAGCCGCTAAATGCGAAAGTTAAGCTACCTTCATTCCCCACCCCCTCCTTGAAATGACTAATGGAAGGTTGAGTTAATGCTGATGCACTCAAATTCGGGACAAAAATGGCCTTATGAAAACCATTCATTTCTCGTTACGATTTGGATCTTGTTCAAGGGGGGGCAAAGTAAAGGTTTTCCAAGGGCGATAAATCAAGAGCCGAGTATGACTAATGCAGCTTAATTTAAAGTTGTCTGTTGGTCTGTTTAATTTAACTGTAGCATGATTAAATATGCCAGTAATACCACTTTATGCAGAACAATAAATTTCTTTCTAGATGCAGAATGGTCACGGCATTTTTAAAAATACAGCGTTATCACAAAAGAGATAATAGAAGGGAATCCCCGAAAAAGAACACAACTCTTACATATCAGTTTCCACAGAAATAAAAGGAAGGTGATAGGATTCTGTAGCCATAGAAGACTTCAATAGTGCGAATTTCAAAATAATATGTCCTTCATTAATAGTTGTACCTGGGTCTTGTCCTTCTCTATGAATATTCTTTCTGTGTGCCAGCAGCAGGTAGACACATAACAGGATGTCATCTGGGTACATAACAGGAAGAAAGAATAGTTTAATTTTATGTATGGTAGGGCAGCTAAAATGATTAAAGGGGTTAGAGCACCTTCCCTTTGAGGACAGTCTGAAGCGTCTGAGACTTTCCAGTTTAGAAAACAGCAATTCAGAGGGGAGATAATAGAGGTTTATAAAATTCTGCATGTGACAGAGAGAGTAGAAAGAGAGAGCTTTTCCCCCTGCGGTCTAGCTCCTCTCCCAAAACACCAGGACTCGAGGGCATCCAATGAATCTGATGGGTAGTAGATTCGGGAAGGACAAAAGGAAATACTTCTTTACACAGCGAGTGATTAAAATGTGGAGTTTGCTGCCAGAGGATGTAGTGATGGCCACAGGCATAGACAGCTTTAAAAGAGGGAATAAAAAGATTTATGGGGGATAGATCCATCAGTGACTGCTAGCCATAGAGACTAAAGGGATCCTTCATGTTCAGAGGCAGGTATCCTCTGAATTCCAGAGCCAGGAAGCAACATTAGGGGAAGGCCTCTATGCCGTGTTGTTGGACCTCCAGAGGAACTGCTTGGCCACTGTGTGAGACAGAAGAAGAAGAAAAAGATTGGATGTATACCCCACCCTTCACTACCCAAAGGAGTCTCAGAGTGGCTTACAATCCCTTTCCCTTCTCCTTCCCACAACAGACACCCTGTGCGGTAGGTGGGGCTGAGAGAGCTCTCTCGAGGACTGCCCTTGAGAGAACAGCTCTGAAAGAACTTATGATTGACCCAAGGTCACACCAGCAGCTGTATGTGGAGGAGTGGGGAATCAAACCCAGTTCTCTCAGATTAGAGTCCACACTCCTAACCACTACACCAAGCAGGATACTGGACTAAATGGACCTCTGGTATGACCCAGCAGGGCTCTTCTTACATGGAACAAATAGATTCCTCAGTTTTTTCATAGGCTTTCTGGCTTGCCAGCTTTGAATAAGGGAATAAATTCAACCTAAGCAAGCTAATGGAACCCAGTCCACAAACGGCTGTGCCGCACAGAACAGGGGGATGCTTCCCAGACCTTTGTCCCTGCCCCTGGTGGGCTGCTTTAGCCCCAGTAAAACCCGGGCCAAGGTGGAGACTGCAGACGTTACAGATGTTTTCTGGGGCTCAGCTTTCTGCATTGGCATAGAAGGAAGAGAGCTACTGTGTGTGATCCTATTAGTTTTCTTCTCCTTCACAGCCCACGTTTGACCTGAATTGTATCAGATTGAGCCACCTGTTTAATCTCTTTCAGTATTCCTTTCTTAAGAGCCATGTGTGGGTATCTGACAACATGAGCTTTGACTCATGAAAGCTTATACCTTAAAAACAAAATTGTTGTTTGGAGACTCAAATTTTGTTCTAGAGCCTTGAAGAGGATGCCTGGCACAGTAGTTTGCACTGAGTGCAAACCTTTATCCACAATCCTGAGGCAACTCGTCGCGTGTTAAACCAAGACAAAACACATGCCTTTTTGAGCACTTATTTTCTACAGCAGCAACATGTGGGGTTGGAGCTGTACATTGTGATGACTTTTGTCTTTGGCAGCTGACATTTTTATTTGTAAATTTGCAATAATTGGAGAGAGTTAGTACTCAGTTTCTAAATACTGTCTCTGTAAGATAGGTGAACTATAAATGAAGTCTGTCAATATCGTGCTTCTGAATTTTTTGTGTGTTTATCCTTATTTGATTGCAGGACTCAGAAAAAAATGTCCAGGTTGCACGTCACGTATGAAGGTACCATCGAGAGCAACGGGCACGGGATGTTACAGGTGAGAATGCCGATCTTGTGTAGGTTTGTACTAAACTTTGGTCTTCTGGGTATTTTGGCTGAATCATTCAGTTTTGCCCTAGTTTATGTGGAAATAACAGGCTATCATGCAGTGCAACAGACACAGCAGAACTGATGCTTCTGACAGACTGAACATTATCGGTTGTCTCCGGCTCACCTTGTTTTGCACATGTGTGACCTGTTTGAAAACCTTTTGATTGACAGTAGTAAGACCTGGATTGCTCCAGGTTCTTCAGGTCAGAAAGTGATTGAAGAGTAACAGGAGAGGGGTTTCCAGGGTGTGAAAGTGACAGGCTGCCGATTTTCGGGGGGGTGTGTGTTTTGTGTTTTAAACAATTTGGAAATGATGTTCCTGTGCCCCAGCTGTTGATGAGTTCAGGAGGTTTGTGCCTACTGCTTTTGGAGTTGTTGTGATCTGGCAGGCAGTCAACTAAATCCTATTGGTAAGGATGCCGTGTCTTCTGTATCTACGGGCATTTTGGTTGGGGGTTTTTTCATAGTGTTGGGAGAGAGCTGACTCGTGAAGTGGCATATGAAGCCCTGTAGCTGTTACTTGTTCTGTTTGGAGGGGGAGGGGGGATGAAGCACAATCCACAGCTTGCTGGCTGAAGCCAGAGCAGTAGGATTCAAGGTGGCCTAATGGTCTTTGGTTCAGTCTTCTGGGATATCATTCATCATCGATCTTCTTTTCGGTCATAAGAACATAAGAACATAAGAGACGCCAATGTTGGATCAGGCCAAAGGCCCATCCAGTCCAACACCCTGTGTCACACAGTGGCCAGAAATACCAGGTGCCATCAGGAGGTCCGCCAGTGGGGCCAGGGACACTAGAAGCCCTCCCACTGTTCCCCCCCCCAGCACCAAGAACACAGAGCATCACTTGCCCCAGACTGAGAGTTCCTATCTATACCTTGTGGCTAATAGCCACTGATGGACCTCTGCTCCATATGCTTATCTAATTCCCTCTTGAAGCCGTCCATTTATCCCACAACATGGTTACCATAGGCGTAAGAGTTCTAGTCGGCCTACACTGAATCAGCAGCTGCCCTCTTCCAGAGAGGCAACTTCATTCCAGAAGTCATCCTTCTGACTAGGATTGTTGTCAGCCCCTGTTAAGTTTGAGGACAGGCTAGCTCAGTTTGCTACAGCCTTGGAAGGCTATTACCTCTGGTGAGTAGGTTTTGTCCACAGTAAGATTTGGTTACAGATTAGAATTTAAGTCTATTATTCCCCCTTGCTCTTTTCCTTTACGGGGATCCAACCAAGCAGTTTTGGGTCTTCCCCAGCTTTGACCTCCCTGATTGACAAGGGTGCCATAGAGGTTCCAGAGGATGGTGCTCATAGATGTGAATGGGAAGAGATGAGCTTCATACCAAGTGGTAGATTATAATTTGGTTTTCCTATTTCTTATTTTCATATTAAAAATGAAAAAAATGTCATTGGTGATCCCCTATTTTAAACCTGTTGGAATTAAAACAACGTTTGATGAACATGGGCCAGGAATCATTGTAAAGAGAGCGAGAGAGGATGTGCTGTAGTGAGCATCAGACTAGGATGAGCTGGGTTCAGACTCCCACTTGGCCATGAACCTCGCAGCGTGATCTTGGGCCACTTGGGCTCTTTGCCTATTGCCCCCCAGGGTCGATGTGGGGGGGGGAACGAGGGACGGGAGAGGGACAGGACTTCCCCTTGAGCTACTTGGAAGAATAGTGAGATAACGTTTTAGCAGTACATGAAGAAAGGGAAGGGCCTTGTATTCTGCAGAAGCATCTTGTAGACTGGAGATCATTTCAGAGGGTGGCCATGTTGGTCTTCTGCAGTAGAACTGCTAGATTTGAGTCCAGGAGCACCTTACAGGCCAGCAAGATTTGGGGGGTGTAAGCTTTTCAAGAGTCAAAGCTCCCTCTGTCAGAACTGATGGTATCTGACCGAGGGTGCTTTGACTCTGAAAAGCTTACACCCTGAAAATTTTGTTGGTCTCTTAAGATGCTACTGGACACAGATCCAAGGTGTTGTAGACTGGAGACTTTTATGATGCTCTAGAACAGTGATGGCGAACCTTTTAGAGACCGAGTGCCCAAACTGCGACCTAAAACCCACTTATTTATCGCAAAGTGCCAACACGTAAATTTAACCTGAATACTGATGTTTTACTTTAGAAACTTTATTTCTACCTTGCTGTTAGTATGTTGCAGGCAACATGATCTCCTTATTGCTTTCGTCATGTTGCCTCTCCTACGATTTGCTGCGCTAGTTCACTGGCTTATTATCGTGAATTAGATTAGCAAAGTTCTCAGGGAAGAGGCCGAGCTAATCTGTCATACTCAGGCATCGCTCAGTATGATGGGGTATCGAACCTGATTAGAATCTTTTGGCATTGCTACACTATGCAGCATGAACCACTAATGTATTTGCAGTGGGTGACGAACGTATTAATGCTATTTGTGTGTTGTCTAAAACACAGGAAAGGAAGGTACTTAATTAGGGTATTGATGACGGCACTTGCCCCTGTCTCTGAAACTGTTATTGTTGCAGTCAAATACAGATAAGGCCCCAGCGGCCTAAGTCATCCTGGCTATCCTTCTGTCATGCTTTCCCCTTGAACCATAAGGACACTTTCTAATATTACAGGTATTTTCTCCTGAAACATACCTTTCCAGATTTGCTACACTTGACGGAACCTGGAAATGTATTAAAATCGTGATGCATTTTTAACTTCCAAAAAGAAATATTAATTTTGCTCCCATGCGGCTCATAAACAAAGCCCTTGAAGGAGGCAGCAAAAATATTTTATGATGCCCTTGTGGTGCTGTATAAATTTGCATTGAACGCAGCACGTGAGAGCGGTGATTGTCAGTCACGCTCACCTGCCTTGGTGTTCTGACCCTGCATAAACAGAACAAAACGCCTCTGCTTAGGCAAACTCAGACTAAATTCAAAAGAGAACTCTCTCTTTCTCTCTCCTCGACATTAAACGATGTTGAGCCACACTTCAGCCACAAACGTCTTCTAGCATTTTTACTGGAGTTCTCATTGTCTTCTAAACAATTCACTTGCCAGCTTTTTGTTTCACGGTGTGTAGGGCATCCCCTGAATTTAAAGACGCTTTCCAAGTTCTAACTTGGCACTTCATTCAGCTTCTGGATTTAGAAAATATATTTCTCCTTCAGTGGGGGGAAGTCATCCAGGAACTGGTTAGGTCACGCCTCTGCTCACTCGATAGGCTATGCAAATGTCTTTTGTTGCATGGCTCCTATTGGAGTGGCCGTGGCCGACCTCTCCAGTTCCTGCATAGCCCCTGCGCTTGATAGGAATAAATTCAAAGAATTGGAACAGTTCTCCTGGTAAAGGACACCCTAGGTGGAATCTGTTCACGGGACAGAATATTATTGAGAACAGTTAATAGGTTCTGACTATATATCTATCCTACATGCTATTCAGTACAAAAGCCTAGAGTGTATTGTTTGCCATTGCCTGATAATAAGCCTCTTCCATCGTGAAGAAAAACCCTCTTCCCTCTCAGGTGTCTTCTGTCATATACTCACATAAATCTCTGTAGATTGAGAAGTGCCAAGTAGAATTCAATTACTGAACGAAGCATGCCCTCGGATAGGCAGTTGATGGCCAAGTATATTATACCAAGGAATATTTCATTAAAGCCATTCAAAACATAAAGAGTCTGCAGTGACAGGCAGTGGCTGACATGTATGACTGCACATTACTCTAATGCTGCATCAACTGCTGCATGGTACCCGATGGCACGTTTGTCTTTTCACGTCCATCTGGCAGGAAGCTGAAGCTGATTCTAGCATCCTGGCTTAGGGAACTTACCTTAAGCACAGTCAGACCTATACATTTCAGTGAGCACCTGCTAGGATTTGTATAGGTGCGTGTAAAATGTGTTCTGCGTTTCCATATGAAATGCAATGTAGCCTTGTGCGTTGTGTCATGAAGAATTGTATTCAATATTGGTGTGGTTGCCAGTACAATCCAACTAGCCAGGCAATCATAGCCAATTTAGGTCAGTTCATCATGACTAGAAATGTGAAGCCTGGGAAGAAGACCTCGAAAAAATCGAGGAGGGGGGCATAAAAATAAGAACTTTTGTGGGATGGGGGGACGGGGACACTTCAGTGAAATGATAGTCAAATTTTACTCACTCCAAATACTTTTAGAACAGAGGACTTCCATGTCAGGTGGTCTATAACATCTATATATCTAATCGCGACATGTGGCCTCCATCTGCGGATACTTAAATCCACAGATCAGGAGCACACTGTCATGCAGCATATTTTTCTGCAAACGTGGGTACTTCCCAGGTTTGTAGAAAAATCTGAAAAGTTTTTTAAAAATACACTGGGGATTTAAATTCCTCCCCCCATTTAAAAAATGCATTGTCTGCACATTAGCAGACAACCCACTTACCATTTGGCCTAGCAGCAGCCACCACAGGTTTCAATTCCAGTCCTGGCTGCCATGGCAGAGGATGCTGGGAGGGACTACAGGTTCAGCTGCCGCAGCAGCAGATTCCAAGAGTGGCTTGATGCCCAGCTGCTGCTGCAGCTCCGGGCCTGGCCATGGTGGCGGAGCATTCTGGGAGCCACTCTAGGCCAGGTGCGTGTTGGAGGACTCCGGGAGAGGTTCCGGGGCCGGCCACAGGGGTGGAGGATGCTGGGAGCCACTCTGGGCTTGGAGCGGCTCCCAGGTACCATTGTTGTCACTGCAGAGCTTAAGGTAGACAGTGGGGCCTGGAGTCGCGATGGGGGGGATGAGATTCTCCCTGCCCACAAATCTCATGGGCCTCCCATTTGTTGTGTAATAATTCCTGTGTCTCATCTAGACACACGTAACAGATTTGATATATTTTATTCTTTGAAGGCCATTAACTCTGTCCACAATTAATATGATACACCTACAATTGTATACAATTGTTAAATTAAATAGGCAGTGTTTTCAGTGTTGTTAAGTTCAGGGCTATTTTTGGGCAGGAAGATGGGATTCTCCCTACCCACAAATCTCATGGGCCTCCCATTTGTTGTGTAATAATTCCTGTGTCTCATCTAGACACACGTAACAGATTTGATATTTTTTATTCCTTGAAGGCTATTAACTCTGTCCACAATTAATATGATACACCTACGATTGTATACAATTGTTAAATTAAATAGGCAGTGTTTTCAGTGTTGCAAAGTTTAACTCTGTATCCAAATATGATAATCCTTAGTCGTCATACAGCCATGTTATTACGTACAGTGAATAAACCCTTCACTGTTAAAACATCTATGCTTTTTATTTTCAAGTTTTACCACCACCACCCCACTTCTCCAGCGGCAAAAACTGAGATGTGTTTAGGTCACACAGCATTTACGACTATTTGTGTTTCATTCACTTATGTTAGGTATATTTTCGACAGAAAATTTAGAACAAACCTAAGGCATTTATAGTGCCGTCTGTAGCAGCGTTATACCCTTCTAAGTCTGTTGACTCCAGTGATCTTAGAAAGATGTAACTTTGCTTAGGGTCGCACTGTTATCCTTCTAAATTTCATACAATATCAAAATAATGAATGATGCACTTTGCATTCTTAGAAAAATAAGTTTATTTTCCATAAGAAAGCATTGTATTCCCAATGATTATGTTTATTGTTACTCATTGTTAACTTAAGGTTCTTAATACAAATTTAAAAAGAAAAAAAAGCAGCATTGCATGTGTTTTTCTTTTCTTTGGGTGCTGTTGCGAGGAGGGGAGTTTTCCCTCATGGCTTCAAATGTGTGGAAAGTTTACATCTCTCAGCACAACTTTTTATATGTGAATATCAATGACATTTCTGAAGCTTTGGGGGTTAAATGCTTGTAGTCATGCTCTCTGTGTTCAGACTTGTGAAATTGAGAAAACAGACCACTAACAGAAGAAACTGTCATGCCAGCAAGTAGTATTGCTTGTATAGCTGTGGGTAAAATTAAGAGAATCTTAGGTGAGAAGTAAGTGCATGCATCAGATATTTACATTACTGGGGGGCGGTGGGGGTGGAGAGAAGACTGTCATGGTGCCCACTAATCCTGTAAACTGTGTTTCTGCCAGGTGGATTTTGCAAACCGTTTTGTTGGCGGTGGTGTTACTGGCGCAGGACTAGTGCAAGAAGAAATTCGTTTCTTAATCAATCCGGAACTGATTGTGTCTCGTCTCATTACAGAAGTCCTGGATCACAATGAATGTTTAATTATCACAGGTAAGGTGTCTTTTTTTTAAAATCTCAGTCTGAAGCATGAGAAGTTTTCATATACTTCATATATATCTTGCTGTGGCTCACAGTATTCATCAAGACAGTAATCCAACATATGAATTTGCTCGAATGAATGAATGAATGAATGAATGATGCGGAACTGCAGACTGGAAGGTCAGTAGTTTACCAGTTCAAAACCCAAGGGTTGCATGATGGAGTGAGCTCCCGTCTCTGGTCCCACCGCCCATGTTTGTAGCCGCCACCACCACCTGTGGCAGTCAATCCCATGTGTGAATCACTCTCTGGGTGAAGAAGGACTTCCTTTTATCCATTCTAACCCGACTGCTCAGCAGTTTCATTGAGTGCCCAGGAGTTCTTGTATTTTGAGAAAGGGAGAAAAGGACTTCTTTCTCAGCCTGCTCTATCCCATGCATAATCTTATAAACTTATATACTTAGAGGATCTTGAAAAGTGGTGACTGAGTCTGCTCATGCAAGAGAATATTGAACAGTGGCTCATAAGGAGGGCCGTATCACTATTTCGAACGTCGTATTGCCCTTTGAAATGTTTTCTGCAACCACAGTAGAGAGTAACTCTAGAAGGGTGTGAGCCACGCCGGGCCTTACGAGTGGTCAGAGCTCAGCCTGTGGCCGTGTGCCCTGTGGAGATTCTGGAAAAGAAGAGATGAGAGGGGGAGGCTCCTAATCTGTTCCAGGGGCAGAGCCCGAGGGGATTTCGAAGCTTCCAAGTCATTCTTCCAAAGCGGATTCCTTTGTCTCTGAGATGGAGTGGGGGGGGGCATCCAACAAATAAGGGTGGCCTTTTTGCTCAGCTTCCCCCCACCCCCTCCCCAGTGCACTTTACTTTATTACCGTGTTCCCTAATTAATCTGTGTGATGGGGGCGTTCTGTTCCCTTAATGGAAACATCCATTTCATCATCCTCATCCGATCCTTGGCTCTCTTCCATCGCCGTGCTTAGGCAGGCCTCTCCAGTGTGCAGCTATCTGTCTGATAAATGACATTCTTCAGATGATGCGTCTTGACTCAGCGGCCTAATGGATGTAATGGTGCTGCTGAAATTTGTAGGAGAGACGGAGAAATTGGAAAGGAATTAGATTTGTTGCAATTGTCCAGCATCTGCTTGAGATCATCGTGGTAACAAAATATGAAACTGGGCGTGCAGAAAAGCTCAAGCAGAGTTCCCCCCCCCCCCCAAGACTTACCAAGAAGTCGGAAGGAATGTCGAGGATGGCAGGGGTTAAGCTTCTGTCTCTGTGTCGATAGTTTGCTCTGTGATATTATTACAGACGTCGTTTATATATTCATTTCATTTATACCCCACCTTCCTCCCCAATGGGGATGCAAAGTGGCTGACATCATTCTTCTCGCCTCCATTTCACTTTTAGAGGAACTCGATTGATTATGCATCTTGGGGCTGCAGTTAATTTCGTTTTAGGTTGGTGGGAACTATCTTTTTTTATATGTGTATGGATATTAAATTGCAATCACGCCGACACGTCTCGCTTTATGCTACAGTATTCTCAGACTGTTATCTCCGAATGAAAAAGAAACTCACACTGTGTCCTGTGCTCTCCTTTCTGTCGCCTAATTGGGTAGGATTCTTCCATCACGTTTTTAAAATTGCCCCAGTGGCCATTTAAGTATTTCTATTTTTCATTTATTTGTTTCATTTATACCCCGCCTTTGTCCCCAACGAGGGCTCAGAGCGGCTTATGTCGTTCTCCTCCATCCTAGTCTCACAACAACCCTGTGAGGTAGGTTAGGCTGAGAGAGCGTGACTGGTCCGGGGGTCTCC